CCCACCCACACTCCACACCTGCACCCGCAGCTACACCCGCACCCACACTCTCACCCACATCCATTTTTTTTGATGCGATTGATACGCTATAAGTAGATATTGTTATTGTTCTTTTCCTGTAAAACATAATATGAATAAGTTCTAAGATATGGCGTCATTCTTTCCGCGGAGCAAACGCTTTGATATCGATACATGAGAAAAAAAACACGTATCGATTTATGTAACATCATTTTTGATAAAAATCATTGAAATCATATTTTTTTAAAATTGATCTTCGATGACAAAAAAAGAAAAATCATATAAATACTCAAACACGCAATGTCATTACTAGTCGCATGCAACATCAAATATATTGCAGGACAGACATTCATATAATGCGTTTCATACTTCAAATTTTCATTTCATTGGTCTTCCTATCCAGTTTTACCATCAGTATGTTTAAAATCATTCTTATTTCTAGTTGTACTTCTATCTTGCTGTTTTCGATTACTTCAAGGACAACAATGCAAATCATGCAATAGAAACAATTGTTATAACAAATGCGTTGGTAAAGACATTTTCTACTATTTCTTTCATTGAATTTCTGTGAAAAACAGCTATCTAAAAGGAATATTGAAGTATTTAGGCTGGAAATGTGCAACCACTCTCCTTCTCAACCAACTCTGACAACCATTGTTGATATACGATCAAAGATACTATGTCATCAATATTTCAGTCAAATATATGAACTATTTTCTTATTGCAGTTCCAGAGTAAGTAAACGGTGACGCAGTAATTTGTCCGAACATAGATCGTATAAAACGACTTTCATGTGATTACCAGACACAGCTACGATGTATATCTCGTTTTAATCACATAGATATTATGCTAACACCCTTGTTCTTACTCAAGGAATAGTCATGATATACAGCTTCATTTTTTCAATACAAACAGTTTTAGTTGATTCCTGTGTTGTATGTGAATATTAACGATTTCGACATCTCGAATAAAATTCTTTGCCGTAGATCTCAAACATGTCATAACGTTGCTCAATATGTTCGATGTTCGATGAATAATGCCTGGGATGTGGGTGTGAGTCTGATCTTAACTCAATCCCACACCCACCGACAACCTGTCTGCACCCAAACGCAGACCCAGACCCGGACCCACGACCAAATGACGACAAAGCTGGACTATTTGTTGAAAGGTATGACGAATTATTAGATAAATTATTTGTAAACGATGGATTGATTGTTGGTGTGAACGATCGATTATTTCTTAGAGCAAAATTTTGATTCAATGGTGGGTTAATAGTTGTCCATGAATAATATTTGTTGATGGAACCTAAACAAAAAACGATTTTGATTTTTAACCATCAGCTTTCTGGGGAGATTAAAATTTTATTTCAACATATAAAGAGTCCACGAGGAGCTATTGTTTTTCTCTTATCGTGGAACATCAACTACGCCAATGTCAACGAACCCAAATGTTTACTGGTAGTTTGATATATGTATATATTGATATTCATTGATGAGGAGAGGAACGAATTTTATTATACGACATTAGTAAATATATATATGTCTATCCTCATGGTCAACGCCACTCGTCGAATTCGTCCTAAGTCAGAAAACAAGCGATTAAAAAAATTGGTCATTCTGTCGTGGACGAAAGCCGTCAGCGGTCAGGAAAATTTTTAGGACCAACGGAACACTGATTTCTTTTCTGCAGAAATAGACGAAGAGAATAACTAAAACAACAGTCCATTTGCTCCATATAATTTACGTGAATAAACGAAAAAGACCCAAATCATAAATTAGTCATGCGTCTTTCTTTATAATGTAAGTCAATTTTAAACGATTTTTCTGCGATGAACAGAGTGTGAGTGTGTTTCAGAAATGGAAGAACAATAAAAACACCCACACCCTTATGACTGGCATTTCAAAAGGAATTGATGGTGTTTGTTTATGTGTTCAATTTTACTGAAGATGACCGTATTTTACCAACGTTAACAACTGAAATTAATGTTGATTATTATTACTGCAATTTCTCTTTTTCAGTGAACATATGAAATCAATGCAATTGCTCAACGAATGTCTGTGCTCATTCGATGCGAATGGACTCTCGAGATAGTTCAATTCATCAATACCACTTGAATGCTGCCAAACATTATTACGTCAAACATGACAAAGTTGCCGACAAGAACAACTTATTATTGAAAGCTGAAATAAGAGTTCTTTTGAAAAAGTTATTACAAGAATGCTTTTGAACTATGTACGATTTATAAAACAATCCTCATCCGTTCTTCATATTATTTCAGTATAAACTTTGAAAATACGTTTGAGCGGTATTATCAATATAGACTTTCACATACTAAATTAACGCATGAAATGTTCTACAAACTTCGTTGAATCTATTATTAATGCTTAAAAGAATCATACAACATGATTCCCTTGTCAGACTTCTAATATTTTTTGCATGAATACAGGAGCAACTGTCGAAAACCATTATAAATCAGGCGAGAAAACTACATATGGATTTTTTCAAGTTTCGCATAATCTGAAAAATTTTGAGCAATTAAAATTAGGTTTTTCACTTCTCCTTTACGTATGTTTCGCCTTCAAATGTATCGTGAGGGTCTCAAGTGCTTGATCCATCTTTGAAGGTCTAAGCGTATATACGATTGAGTTGTCTTTGAATGGAAACCCATACCATCAACAGATGAAAGGCATTGAAAATATATTACATAATGGCACACTATCTCGTGATTTACTATACCAGTTTTAGCGCTATAGGTGAATCTAAGCATAAAAAAAAGTAGAACAATAATCGAGATTTACATTACAATATAAATAAGCTAACATTATGAGCTAAAATGACCGCATGTTTTTTTTCTAGCAATTTACTGCGATCTATAGTAGCCAACAGTTTCTGTTCAAAGGCATGAGAGAAAGTATACAAGCAGCTGGAAATTTTTATTTGGTAATTTATATAACAAACCAATAGCTGATCGAACATTCCAAGCAGTGTCGATTAAAATCGACCGGTTTCTGCCACTGGTCTGACACGATTGGTGCTGATTGATATATATGTTTTGGCTTTGTTTCGACATTCAACAAAAATTTGTCGTAGATTTGGCGTAATCCAGAAAAGAACGATGAGCATAGGGCACAATGCTGTATTTGTATTCAGAAGTAAAAGACGCATCCATTTAATTGGTGAAAGATCAGGACGAATAATGGTGAATATTATAAAAATCAATGATGGGATGCCCACAAGAGCTAATTGAGCATTTAGCAATACTACACGTCGGACCACTATCAAATCGCGACGCATTTGTTGTGATTGATTGCCTTGGACTCTCGATGAAGCTTGACGTACATAATTTACTAAACGTCGATACAAAACAGAAAGCATAACGTCTGATACAATAAATGTTATTGTAAACATACAAATTAATACGCTAAGCTTTGTTATTGAAACAAAACACATATTTTCTGTAGGAAATTTTGGCATGTTACCGGTTAGATAAACAGGTAAACCGAAACTGAAATCAAATACCCATTGAATAAAGACAATGGAAACTTTACCACTGGTATTATTTAGAAATGTCAGTCTCTTAATCTTAACGTACTTTTCGATTGCTTGCAAGACGAAGGAGTGATGAACTGCAGCTATTGTTGCATGATGAATATAGGCACGTAATGAACAAAGAGAGTCAATTTGTGGCACTGGCTGTTGATCCCAGAAGAACATGTAAATAGCTACGGCCAAGTTGTCACAAGAATATATAAAAACGGCAAGAGCTGTGTTGCAAGTTAATAGAATAGGAAAGTTAAAGCATCGACGTCGATAAATCGTGGCAATCGTAAGAAAAGCAAATGCTAGCAGAGAAACGAAGCAAGTGACAAAGATGTTTATTCGACTAATAACAAGAACTATATCCATCTTGCTATCAACACAGACTGTGACTGTTTATTGTAGTTGAGTTGATTTGAATGCTTTTCACTTGATAATCAAAAGAAAACAGTCCAAATTCAATTATTTTCGAACGAAGAACACTCATTGAATTCAAGACGCTAGGTTTTCAGCAACAGTTTGGTGTAGATAAGTATAAGTTGCAAATTCTATGGTATTGTTCGAATATGTATGCTCATCCTGTTGCTATATAAGAGAGTAGTTACTGTTGAAAGTAGAAAAAAATCACCTAGAATCAAAGAAGGCTTTTCATGAGAAAACAGCTCGTTTTTATGTTTAAAGAAAAGATAATCAGCGCGTCTCATTGCGTATGAATATTTTAAGTATGTCATAGTTAATACACTTCAAAGCATTAAATCTGTCAAGTAACTGTAACAGTTGATCACAGAAAATGATGAAATAAAGCTTTCTTGCATCAGTGGTAATTTTAACTGAAAGATGTTGCTTTGTCTAAAAAAAATCGGCGTTTTGAACACTATTTTCGACAAAAACGTGCGAATTTCAAAATAATGATACAGAAACTATGATTTCGTAATCGACAAATCATTGTTGAAGGAATCAATGAAAAATATAAAAATGACCAGACCTGGTGAAGATGTTTCAGACATGCTATTTTCAATTGCCTGCGTTTTTACATTTTTCTTTTTTTCTTTTATGGAATCAAAAACTATAACAGATGAAATAGGATATCAGGTCGTATTCTAGCAACATTTTTAAACAGGTGTATCATTTATGTGTTACAGGCAAAACTAAACATAGATAGAATTTGTTATAATTAGACGGAACAGAGCGCAACATTTTTAATAGAATCTACAACTTTCACTATCAATGAAAAGAAACTCGATTATTTGTTTGAATGAACTTAAAACAAAATAGAAGCATATTAATTTTTCCATTTCTAATCGTATGATAAGTATAGCAATGACTTCTCTTTTGACACCAGAAGATAACTCTCGAAAACAATTTTATGAAGAAGAACATGAGAATATGAAACCTCCAAACATTAAATTTCGAGAAAAGTTAGTTATCGCACAGCCTACGAATTGTATTATTCTTCTTGGATATGAGTGCGAGCGTAGAGTGCGATCACGAAAAGAGTAACATCTACACCCTTCTCTTTTTGATCTTTTCTTGTTGTTTTTTCTTGTGAACTACTGCACCAGAGAAAAAAACTGAATAAGGACATCTCTGTTCGATCTGACACCGTCTCAATTGGAATTCAATGCGATTGGCCTGTACTGAATCGAATTCCATTGTCGAATAATTTGATTCGATTTCTGTCTTTGATCGTTACTCTTGTTCTTTACGGCCTCAACGAGAAGTACACTCACTTACATCCAGAGGCACATCACATCCTGCATGTTTTCATCAGTCTACCAGAATTAAAGATTTGACAATGAACCATGCAAATAAAACAGACACTTAAACGAATCTATAAGAAAACTAAAAGCAAATAATTCTAAAAACATAAAAATTTTCCAGTATTTCCATTCTGATCTCTTGTTTTTTTTAGTGAATCCATAATAAGATAGAAATTTATTTAAAAAGACCAGTGAGAAGACCATTTGATTGGTCACAATTCTCAAAGTAAAATATGAGAGGAAATAGTTCCTTAAAAATGAATCTCTAAATTATACTTTTATTGTTCTACTCAATATTGAAGTCGAAGCAGTAAAACAACTTTGCGATGGTATATTGAGATTGAAGATTGCTTCATAAACATAATGAAAATCGAGAAAATCAGGAAAATTTGATAAGTTTCAAGAGAACTCACATTATGAGAAAATCAAAAATACTTCCATTGTGATAACATATTTTAGTCGACTGCTTTCATTGTAGGAAAAGAAATAGTGTATTTTCATCTAAAATAAGATTATTCTGTTACCCTGCTACTTAGGTATATCTGTTTCGTTGTCATTATGATCAATCTAGATATCTAATTGCCCAACTGTTCGTTCCATATCGAATTTAAGACAAAATCTCAAGTGATAAGTGTCATTAGACAAAAAATAGATTTCATTCATTATTTGTAAGAAAAATTCCTATGCATGTGTAGTTATATAATTTATTTTCATTGAATTTCGCTCATTTTATATGAAATAGAACTACAAACGTTTTGTTGAATATGAAAGAAAAAGAAAAAAATATGAGAAGTCTTGATAAACAGTTAGAATTTTAAGAAAGAAACTCCCATTCGTCTTGACGATATTGATGAGGCTTTATTTAAGTTGAACATCAATTACGAGCTTATCCATTATTCGAAACAGACTTTCGTATGATACAGTAATGATTAATAACATTTGTCTTCAATGAAATAATTCTTTAACATATTGAACATTCGTTGTGATATGATCATATGATTCATCACATTACAAATAATAGAAAGAAAAATGAAAATACATAATACCAAAATAAATAAAGTTAATGTATATAACTTAGATATGAGAACAGTACATTTTTTTGAAATAACTACAACTAATAGAAGCACAGTTGATACAAAAATTTTCTTATTACTCAACTGCTATTCTTATATATAAGTTGTTCGATGTTAAATAATCAAGAATAAGAAAAAGAGGATGTTTAGAAAAATATTTTGTAGGATGATTAAGATATAAAATTCTAGATTTCATTGAACAATTTTCATTAACAGAAAGTTTTCAACTTCTCTTTAACTTGCATTTGTAATTCATGTAAAAATAACTAACGATTCAGCCGTCTTTACACTTTTTTTTTTGATCATTCTATACGCAATTACTGTATAGTGAAAGTATATTTAAGGATTTCCAAAGCATGGATACAACAGTAATCAAGATTAATTCTAAGGATAAATTAATGACAGCTATTAATCAACACACGTAGATAGATTAATATTAAAAGCTTAAAAAGCAAGATGATATGCGCAGTATAAGATTGCTACGAAGTTTTTATGTCAAATTGCATAATGCTATCGGAGTACCCATTCAAATAATACGATTTGAAAACCTATTGATTTCATACATGAAAATCAACATGGACTGCCTTTTCAATATCGTCACCATCTTACACAAGTCTCTATCTGTTAAAGAGTATGAATGGATATATGAAAGAGTCGTACTCATATTCCGCATCTAAATTCCATACCCACTGTCATATTCTCACTCACAGATACATACATTCCATGTCCAAGGTTTTATTGAATCTTTTCACCTTCACGTTTAAGAGAAAATTAGCAGAATTTTGATTATCGTTTTTTTATTTTCTTCTCCGCACAATGTACTAGTTACGTCGCACTTCAGTCGAGTTTCATGCCATAACAATGGTCATTAGTTGAAACGATAATTTCATAATTAATTGCTGAAAATATCACGAATTTATCGGTATGAATTGGATTTTCATGAACAAGATTGAATTGCAGAATCATTCTCTCATTCGTAGCTTTGAAAGTCAATGAACAACAAGTTCTTTAAGAGATTCAGTGACGTTGCATGATAACAATGGTCTGCAACCGACTGAAAAAAGTTCAATGGGAAAAAAACGAATTCAAATTGGGTGTGAGTGTGGGTGTGGTTGTGTGGACGGATATCTTCTCTTCTCTCACACTCATATCCTGGTAGCAATATCAGAATGATTTTGTACTTCATGGTTACTAATATACAACAGAATCTGTTAATCGATATAAATATGTTCATTGGTTCGACTTTTATGAGATAAGGCAATCATAACAGGCAATAGACATGCTTCATTATTCAGTAATACTGAACTAAAATATATATAAAGTCATACTGATTTTCCAATCTGAATATCTATTCATTTAAATAGTAGATTTAGTAATCGAATATTTGTTTCAAACTAATCTCATCTCATAAAGATAAACTTATCTGATGATGAAGCCGCTTTAATTTTGTCTAAAGATGTAAGTGTAAGTAAGGATAAGACAAAAATCCAAACATAAACAGAAAACTCGGCCTTAGAAAGACTTTTTATTCACAGCTATGGTATAAGAAATAGTAAGAAGACTGGCGAGATTTGATAATGTTTATCTGATGTACAACACTATTAAAGTTTCAAATATCGTAGAATTCATCCAAAAAATATATCCATCATTGGAATAAAGTGCAAGGTCAACGCAAACAGATTCGTCGAGGAATGAACCTGAAACCATCGATTAGAGAAAATGGACAGGATCTGTTATGGATCTTTAAAACTCGTTGACTAGAAGAACAGTGGCAAGTATTGCGAATTATTCTGTTATTTGTTCAGTACGATAAACAATAGAACAGAAGAATCATTCATGATTTATGGAACAAATTGATTTTGAAAATTCGGAAAGACAACGGAATCAAATATAATTCAAATTTTCTCATATTAATACAATTCTGTTTTAGAAAGAAATTTAATTCATTAAATTCAATCACAAATATATTTATTGATAACATAAAGTCCTAAAAATGTCATCACTAGTCGAATATTTTCTTTTTTAAGCTTGTTGATTTATCGTCTCTTACAACAAGTTATTTAAACTTTTTATTCTACTTCCATCATAAAGAATCTATTTCTAA